ATACAGTTCCTTTGTAAATTCAATTTTAAATATTTTTTTTTCTGTAAATTTCAGCTCATAAGTTTTTAACATGTAATGCCCACATAAGAGTATAAAGAGTTACAGTTTAGTTTTATAATTTTGTAATTGCTTTGTTTTGTAATATTTAATTGTAACTTGTTTTGTAAGCTAATAAATAAAATAAAATAAAAATACGTAACCTAAGCCATGTAAAAAAAAACATTAAAGTTCCGAGTACTTGGTAGTTGCTAAACAATTCAGGTTTAGCATCCTTCTTGCTTTGTTAATAACCACATTGAGCCCGATTCTACATACAAAATAGCATTATGCTATTTGATAAACTGCTTTCAGAAGTTTTTTATGCCGGCTGTGCATTTGTGCCGTGAAGTTTCATGAACAGGCGTGAACATGAATTATATATATGGTATATTATATGGTTTTCGCAGTTACAGAGTATTTCACCGCATTTGAATCCACGGCGCGTATTCACGCCATTATTTCACGGCACTAGTGTGGAGATGGTATTAGGTAGAGTCGATACCAAAATCAGAGAGCCAGCAACAAAAATAAAAACTATGGTTGGCCGAAGTTTGTGAGTGTAATGTTCTTAGACTTTATTGAAAGGTTAGAATCAAGCTAAAAAACATTACATAAATTGTAATGTTTTTTAGCTTGATTCTAACCTTCCACGACGAACTTCAGCCAATTAGACCCTCTGAATTTTAATCTCAACGTCAAAAAAAAACAAAATCGTCAAAACCACTTCAATCCAGATGATGTAGGTACATATCTATAGCTTTTTCTAAAATTAGAATTAAAGGTTTGTTAATTACAACTTTAAAACAAAGACTAGACAGTTCATTTTCGAGACGGCAATAATATTTAAAACTACTTTTTATTACCTAAAAGCTTCCATTTCTTGATTTGTGCAGGCTTTAGGAGATCATCAGTAGTAATATCTACTACCGAAGAAGGCACAAGGATCCATACTTAGGTTGATCTTACAATATTACTTATATTTATCATAATATATTATTAACTAACATAAATAGTTTAACCATAATTACCTACATCTTTGGGATTTCATTAACAACTAATATAAATAGTAATTTATAAGCTGTTATTAAATTTACTGCAAAGAAATAATTCGTACCTACGCAATCCTCTGCAATCTTACATTTTTGTATCAAGAAAATTTAAATAGAATTACATAAACTGAACACACCAGAAAATCTTCCGGCGAAGTTCAATAATGGACTAGCATCTGCATTGGGTGAAGCAAATTGTTTAACATACTCATAGATGCCGTAAACCAGTAAATTTTGTTTTGCTTTCGCGAATCAGTCGATGTCGTGTTTACTTAAAAATAACATAAATATTTACTGGTTAGTTAAAACATCATAACAGTAGTAGATTTTTGAAGATATCCAAAGCCCGTCAATACTTTTGGAATGTATTCAAAATTTTACATCAAATAATGATGAAGAGTAGTCCTCAGAGGCTAGTCTCAAGTTTCGAAGCTCTCCCGAAAACGCGGGCGGCGGTCAGCCGGCGCGGGTCAGGAGAAACGCGAGTCGTCCGGCGACGACAGCGAGCGAGGCTTCGACGTCTTCGCCTCTATGGAGGTCGGGCCCGGCGCCGCCCCGCCCCGCCACCCCGGCCCCGTACTCCTGTTCGTGTACGTCGACGACGTCACCGGCACCTTGCGCGTCTGCTTGATCTTCAACTTGTTGAGCCACAGGTCCCTCGTCTTCTTGTTGCCCACAACGAAGAACACGAACAGGACGAACCCTTGGAACGTGGCGGTCAACGTGAACAGGTACGCCGCCACCACGTTCGACGCAAACAGGCCGAACAGCCACGGCAGACCGAACAGGAACACGAGAAGGCAGCTCACGGTAGCGCACCGCAGCGCCTCGTTCGAGTCCCCATGCCTCTGGATCCTGCGCGAAGCGTACACGGAACGGACTATCAGCGCGAACAGCGTCCAATTCGCGAGCAGCATGACCGCTATGGGGGCGTAGACGGCCAGCCACAGCGCGAGCCCGGAGGGGTAGCAGAAGCTGCCGCCCGGCGCGTTTTCCTCGAAGCGGTCGGAGTACGAGCGGGGGTCGACGGCGAGCATCACGCCCACGACTGCGCAGGGGGCGCCCCACGCAAACGCCCCCGCCCGCAGCAGCTTGTGGGCCGCGTCCCGCGTAAACACCAGCACGAGCCGCCGGTACGACAGCACCGCCGCCACCAGCATCCAGCAGAAGGCCGCCAGCACCGAGTAGTGCAGCAGCACGCCCACCGAAATGCACGCCGCGTCCGACCTATCGAAGCGTGCGAACACGACGCATACGAAGCAGACCACTAGCACGAGTATTGCGACGCACAGCTGCAGCCAAATCTTGTTGCTGTACTCGCGCCGCCACGAGCGGAACAGCGCGGCGGTGAGTGCGATCGCGACCAAACCGAACATGGACGCGAAGCAGCCGACGAGCGACAGCACCTCGAGGGCGGCCTCGTCTTGTTCGGAAAACGTGGTACGTGGGACGAGCACCTCGGCGAAGTGCGTGAGGTGAGTGCAGCGGCAGATGTCAAGCTGGCCGGCGCCCCCGCGCACTAGCTGGCAGCCTGCGCGCTCCCACTGCCCCCCCGGACCCCCGCCCGGACCCCCGCCCGGACCCCCTCCCCCCGCACTCCCCGACTCGAACTCCCAGTAGGCGCACGCGCGCCTCAGCCTGCGCCCCGGCTCCTCCAGCAGCGGCGTCAGGTGGATATCTACTACCTGCGAAAGCGATACCGCATGTCAGTTTTAAATTACCCTATGAAACAAACACAGAGACAAAATCGACCCACACTTATACCCATGTTAGTGAATTGGTACTAATCCTTTTGGTTAGATACTTCGGAAACGTGCACCACTTTTGGAATTATGATAGAATCAACGTTCAATTGATTTGTGCCAGCATAACTTGCTTCTCTGTCATCTAATCTATCTTCTTCTATGTCAGAGTTGAAGTTAAGAGAAAAAGTTTGTTTGGATATTTGTTTCTACCGACGGATTCAATAGCTTCCATCGAAAGAGCTAATTTTTCTAATGATATGATAGAGGCTAACGTCACGAAGCGATTGAACGTAAAAGCGAATTCCAAATAAGGCAAAACCAAAGCAAAATCAAAATTTAAGCGATACATTTATGAGAATGGATGCTCTTTCTATAAAAGCGATTGTATTGGCCAAAAACTGCAAATACAGACACACAGTCTAGTTTATATTTGATGTTTAAAATACGTCTCATTTTACGCACGTATGCATATTTTTCCACACGCTTAAGTTATACTTTTGTCGTGCATGCAAAAACACTAATTGCATTATGATTTTGCACTGCATGGTCCGGTATCAATCGACTTATCTATTTTGTTAAATTCTCATTGAAAAAATGGATTTAATTTTGAATAATTTTATAGAAAACAGTTTTCGTACTTTATATTAGTAGATTATCTTAAAATAGATGCCCACCTAAAATTATTTTAAGAGCGCGACAAAGTTTAATTATATTCATTAATAATAATTAGTCGTCTCAAGTGAATATCCTTATCATTAATATTATTAATCAAAAGTTTTTCGAGTTGCCTCAAAAACGTTTCTCTGGACAGTATGGCGTCTTACTAGTATGTGACGTCACACGACTGTCATTAAAACGTCAAACGACACAATATAATGTCACTTTAACCGGAAGTTTACTAACATCTGACGTCATTTTAGTCTTTGCCAATTTCAGGTGTTTTTGTGTGTCACGTGACTAGATAATAAATATTTTTCTATTTCATAATTTTAAGTGATATTATCAATTACTTTTACTGTCTGAATAGTGAATCCATGTTAAATACACATGCCAAATCTGGTACTTTATTTTTCATACTGTCAAAAATTTCATATCTTGTGGTCCGCGGACCACTGGGGGGCTCCCATGAAAGCGTGCGAAGTGGTCCGCGAAGCCAATCGAAAAAATATTACATAAGTAAGAATGATATTTGATTTACATATTCTAGTGGGGTGCAAATGATAAGTGATGGTTCGTGGCAAGACAGAAATTTTGACAAATGGTCCCCAATCTCTATAGCGGTTCTTATCAGATTCATCATTCAGTCTTTTTTTTCGATGACGGGGTGACGGGGAGAAAAAATGCATTAAATCTACGACAGTGATCAACGCCGCGTTGGCGACGCAGGTAATTGCGTGGTGCATTCGGCAAGCGCCGAGCAGCCCAAGGGCCGCTAGTCGGTACGGGTATACTTTGACGTGCACTCACGCAAGCGTGACATACGTCAAACCACCCCGACTCCTACCGGCAGCCCGGTCCGCACCCGCTTCAGCCGATCCTGGGCTTCTCCGTACACAGCGTCACCTGACTAGTCTCACGGACCGCAGTCCGAGCGGCTAGTCAGCCGACCTCCTCGGGTACCTACCCGGTAAACCAACTTCGGTCATAATTTTTCCAAGTCAAGTATAACATTGTTCTTCAAATGTCTGAATTTATGTTATTATACCTTATCGGTCAATACTGCTTGAAAGGAAGGGTTAAATGCATGGAAATACAAGATACTCTTACTCTCTTATCCCACCTTCTCCTTTCCTTCAGAGGACCACGCGCGCTGGCCTACGTTGTCACCGTCTTACTGTGGCCACAATTCCAACGCGTACAAAGAAATTTGGTGACTTATTTCTTTATCGCACTATCCGTAAATGGAATGCTCTGCCCGCTCACGTGTTCCCTCCCTCTTACAACCTGGGATCCTTTAAAAGAGGCGTGAAGAAGCAACATGCAGGCCGGCAGGGTGAGGATGGCTGGTGTGGCAGGTAGAACTGCTGTATCAGCTGTCTTCGCGTCTGGACTTCACCTTCACTTAACATCAGGTGGGGTGGAGTCATTTGTGGGACCTATCTATAAAAAAAAAAGATAGCCTTGAAGCTTAGAAGGAAGGATCATATTAATGGGGATTTTAGCTAACCTCGCCCGCTTCGAAGGTGGTGAGGTTCTCGACGTTGACGCTGAAGACGCGGCTGTTGACGGTGAGGCGAGATGGGAAAGCACGCTGGTTACGGAACGCCACGAAGCTGACGCGCCGCGGCTCGCGCACCACCGACGCCGGCAGCATAACCAGCGCCTCCGTCGCGCTCGTCTCCAGGCTCTCAGGTGCTAGCTCCTCCGCTGAGAGAACATCATAAAATAACATATTTGTATTACTATTAATATCTGGCAACTGCTATTGCCCTTGTGTCGCTAGTATTACGATACTGCTGGAGCGTCAATGGCAGTGTATGTTTACATGATTGCATGGTACTGTTTATCAAATTCGATTAACGACAATGAGTGCGAGCTGCTGGTGAGGGAGAATAGAAAATAGTAAAGCCAAATTAACTAGGATGTGGTATCCAATCGAAACCACTGACCGCTATGCTACAGAGGCTCAATATCTAAGACTACAAGACTGCGGCACTCCTTTTCACTGCAAGCAACTACAATAGGGATGATGACTATTTTTTTTTCTTCGTTTATCAGGTAGATTATCAAAAAGTGTTGGACACGTATTTTTTCTTTTTTCACATAATATAAACATTGCAGAGATATATTCATTTGAAAAGACGCATGACGTCACGTTTGAGTACACTTTTAAGTGAAAATTCACTGAAAAGTGACGTCACGAGCCCCTACTCCCAAACTTTGACGCGCTATAACTTTGTCATTTTTTGGTTGATTGCCCAAAGGAAAAATACGTGTCCATTACTTTTTGATCATCTAACTGATGGACTAAATAGAATTTCGTTTACTGTATGTACCCCGTCATCACTCCAATTCCAAAAACGATAAATAGTCAGTAAATTTTTGACGTGACAACGTCTTAAATTAGGTTGCGGCTGGGAGTCACTTATGAAAAAGTGTAACGCTCGGTAACGTTACGATGAGTCTCTCGTGTTAAGTTTAAGTTTACATGTACAATGTTTTAGTAAACAAAATATATTTCTATAGTTAAAATTTGTGCAATTCTTATTTTCATTCAATTCCTTGTTCCTATTGTGCAATTTAATTATATTCATATCAATAAATATTCTACCGAGAAAAAGACGTTGTCACGTAAAATCTTCGCCCGTAAAACCGACTTTACAGGCAACCATTTTTTTTTTAGATATTAAAGTTCATCTAATATATAAAATTCTCGTGTCGCGGTGTTTGTGGTTAAACTCCTCCGAAACGGCTTTCTCGATTCACATGAAATTTTGTGTGCATATTGGGGTAAGGTCTGAGAATCGGACAACAACTATTTTTTATCCCCCTAAATGTTAAGGGTAATCCCCCTAAATAATTTTTTTACATCATACAAAAATACATACATCCCTAAATTTTCAACTTTCTACCACAAACCCCTATTTTTTTATGGCGGTACGAAGTTCGCTGGGTCAGCTAGTATTAAACTAAAAATGTACTAAAAATCCTTTCTGATTATGAACTCACAGTCGATAAACTGGAAGGACTCTTCGGCGAAGTCATCGGCGGACCTGGTGGCGACGCGCAAGCCTCGCACGGGTCGCGCGGGCGCCGAGTCGGCGAGCAGCATAGCCACGTTGCGACGCACGGTGATGGCGGTGTGCGCGCCACCTAGCTCCACGCGCGCGCCCAGCTCATCCAGCAGGTGCAGCAGCCGCCCCGGGATCGCCAGCTGCGCCTCGTCAACCTCCAGGATCTCGTTCACCTGCAACCGCAAAACAACTCTCATAGCTGCCAACTAAAACGACTAGCTACAACGTCACTATGCCCCTTCTTTTTACTTTCTTCTATACTTACTGCGGCACTCAGACACAAAAGTATCTTTAAATATAAAACTCAAAGGTGACTGACTGATATAGTAATCTATCAACGCACAGCCCAAACCACTGGACGGATCGGGCTGAAATTCGGCATGCAGGTAGATGTTATGACGTAGGCATCCGCTAAGAAAGGATTCTGATCAATTCTACCCCCAAGGGGTTAAAATGGGGAATAAAAGTTTGTATGAAACTTTGTCAATTTTAAACCGATCGGGCTGAGACTTTGCATGCAGGTATAAGAAGAATCATAGATGAATGTCATTGTGTATAATACAAGCCTGAGAACAAAAACTGTAGTCTACACTTCAGCTCTACACCGAAGCGAGGCGAGGGCGGGCCGGTAGTGTACCATAAAATTCAAAATTCCTGACTAAATAAAGTTCCTAACTCCTAGACGGCTCATGATCAAAAACTCATTGGATATAGTTAATAGGTATCTAATCAATGTATCATGAACTCCGTCGTGTCGTGGCCTACTCTACGGCATTAGTAACTTTACAAGTTACCCATCATGACTATCACAATATATCAATAGTAATCTTTATCCCCCTTATTAATAAGTGAGGAATAAGCTAAGACTAGTTACGCCGTGTTTTGTTCAGATCACTAAATGAACAGCGACAAAACATGGAGTAACTAATCCAAGCTTAGTCTTCGTTTATTAATAAGGGGATACGAGTAGGGCACCTGATATTATGTGCTGTCGCGTAGTGTCATTTCAAACATACCTGATCAAAAGTATCTGTAATGTTATCTAATAACACCGCATCGTTCTGCAGTAGCGATTCTAGACCGATTAACAGCTGGTCTAGCTGTTCCTCTGGCTGAAAAACAAAAGTTAACACCTATTAAAATTGTTCGTAACGCAAAATTCAAGTTTATTAGTAAAAGCAAGTGCCACATCGAGACGTGAAATTTAACATTTTTCTTACATATAAATCCTGACATTGATACCTCAACTACACAGATTTTAGTGAAATTCAATTACAATGAATATACCTACGAAAATGCAAATTAAGGTCATGCAGACTTACTGGTAAAGTCGTAGTGGTAGGAGTTAATGTGGTTGTCATTACTCCAGGATCAGTAGTGGGTCTCGCACTTTCAGTTGCGATAATCGGTATTGTAACAGTGCTAAATTCGGTAGGCGTCTCTACTGTGATAACGTCAGGAGATGTCGTTACAGTAATGACCTCTGAAGGCGGCGCAAAAGTTGTCGTGTTGATGCAATCCATATCAGTTGTTTCATCCGTTTCTTCACTATCAGGTTCACTGGTACTGCTACTGGTATTTGTAGTGCTATTGCTTGGGGTTGGCCGAGGTCGACGTTCTTCTGGCGCACTTTGATTTACTTCGTTCCGCAACAACAGCTGTTCCTTCTTGGTCTATAATTCGGGAGAGTGTTAATAAACGTGCGGACGGATGGGGTGAACAGTTAGATGATTGCGTTTACGTGGTTTGATTAAGCATTGAGTGGGTGAAATTTAGTAACGCGCATGTTAATTAAACAGTTACTTCAAAAAATTTATAATCTCATTTTCCTACTCCTGTATTTCAGTTTGAGCCTTAATAATCTAATCGAAAGAAAGTTTGGTTGGAAAATTGGCTTTGGCAAATAAGCAAATAGATAATTTGCTAATCTCCCTTGTCAAATGATGGTGCAAATTTTTATTCATCAACTTTTTCCATTGACAAAACAATTAACAACAAAGTTGATCATACACTTATTTTTCTCTGTTTTAGTTTTCAAAGCGGACCGAATGTTACAGGATTATTATCAACATATGATAAACAGAAAACCGCCCCCTATTCTAATGATAAGAAATTCACCTTATGGTTTTTTTTTCAAATCCCAGGTAAAAGTTAAAAACATCTACGTAATGTTTTATTCAACTTACAATGGAAGTCATATCTGGTGCCGCTGTCAACACATCTGCGTCTTCCACTCCGTACAACTCGGTGATCTCGATGGGCGGGGGATTGTACCCGTGGGGGAAAGTCTCCACATACTGCACGCCCTCGTTGAAGTCTCCCACGCAAGAGTACACCCGAGAACCAGCTGTAGTCACTGATTGGCCTGGATAACATTTTTTTTATTTTAAGGATAAATTTTATTCTAAATTCTTATTAGCTCCAAAACTTGCCTGCTAACTACGCACACATTACTAAACGATATACTCAACTAATTTTATCATCCACAAATATGTGATTCGTTATTTCCATGAAAAAGCACGCTAGAATACGATCTAATCACAAATACAATGTTGGAAATTTTAGTTTCCTGAATTTTAAAAGCTTGTTATATATGGTACAGATAGCTACAGGTAATGTTACCTGAAACTGTAAAATTTTAACAACTGACTTTGGGCTTTAGATAACTTGATAATAAGATTCACAGTCATACATTTCTATGGTAAGCATCGTGAGGCGTCGTACGGCGTGGCGCTGTACTAGGCCTTCGGCGTTTATAGAAGACCAAAGCCGAAGAAAATTGACAATTTGTGGTAACTTCATGTGTGTCTGTCTGCACCAAACCTGAATTGTTATGGTACCTCCGATGTTTCTGATTTCCATAATATCAATGTTAACAATGGGATAAAAACCATTAAATTGGTGTTACCAAATATATATTTCCAATACTGAATACAGAATTCATCATTCGCGACGATTTCTCGGAAAAAAGAAAAATAAACAATAAAACCTTATGTTCTCTAGTTTCAACCTTGATCTTAGTTAACAATCGAGGTAATTAGACGATCGTATGGCCGAGCCGGCTCAATATTTTACTTAACAGCCTATTCAAATTAAAAGGAGCAAACTCACACTGATATTATCAATTCGAAAAGGATTTCATTAACAATAAAAGTATATCTATATACCTAAATGAAAATAAATAAATATTTTTCGATAATTGCAAATAATAAGTGTGAACCTAAAATTTGTGTGAAAGGTCAATTTGGCCAAAAAAGTCTAAAGTGAGAACAGTTGTGAGTAGAAGACGTAAATTTATGGACTAAATCCTTATTTATTGTAATAACAAATGTAACGTTTGTTTATGTAAAGTCGCATTGGAAGGCGAAAAACCAAATTAACTCTTAAATCGGTACAAATAAAAAACCGTGACCAATTTCTATTAATTACTAGTGACAATTTGTTTAAAGCAAAACAAAAAAGGGCAGGGAATTCCTGCTTGAATTGGGGCACTAGTTAGGTAAAGTACAAGGGATACTCCATGGCTTCACAAACTCCAAATGAAGATGCCAAGTTTACTACACTCTTTGGAAATAAAGAATAAGCCACCCAGAACTTACCGAGATGCAGAGTGGGCACAGAATTAAATCCCTTGCATACATAAGCCGGTTTCATGAACAGCACCTCCACGTTATCCCACACACCAGGCATCAGTGGCTGCATCTCCGGGTTAAGCATCAGGTGCACCAGCGCCGTCCTTGCGTCCAAATACAACCTCTTTATCTTCAGATTAAAGATCACGTCACTGTCTTTCCAGTTTAAATCGGGCTTCGCACTTTTGAACGCTTTCAGTACCCTTTCAGCTTCATAATGGTTGGTGGTATTCATATCTCCATATACGCTGGTGTACTTTGTCTTGTAATAGATAAACTCTTCGAGTTTCTTCTTCCATACTTTGTAGAGTTTCTCGAGGTTGTCGAAGCGATATTCTTTTCTTAAACGGATCTTACAAGCATAAAGATTCAGCACAGATTCTTTCGACCTAATAAAGAGAGCTCTGTTGGAAGTGGAGACGTGATAGTTCTTGTAATCATATTGAATGCACCAGTAGTAGCCGTCGCGGTCTGGGTCCACGCGGAAAACGCGCTCGTCGTTTGTTTTACTGATACCGGTCGGGGATGGATAGTAAATCAGGCTATCGGAAAAGCAGTTGATGTCGCTCTTCTTTACAGTTTCATTGAGGGCGAGAAGTATATTGCCCTCCCTAAAAAAATAATAAGGTGTTATTCATGGCGCAATAGTAAAATGCCCGAAGAAGAATACGCGGGATTTTTTCTGATAAATATGTAACTATGATCTCCTCTTTTAACTTATTTTCTTTCACTGCTTTTGTTGGCTCCAGAAAGCAAAATATCACAAGCACCCTAAAATTAGCATGTAGTCTTATAGAGACTCAATAAGTAATACGAACTCTGAATGAGACATTAAGGATTATGTAGTTTACTTATTGTGTTATTAGTATATGAAGTCCAATTAGGATTAGCTGTATTTCAGTTCGTACCAGTCTACCGTGAGGTTCAAGGCGACATGTTTCAACGGCGCGGGCTTTTCGCAGATGACGTCGAAGAAGACGTAGGAGCTGTTGACCAGGTACCAGAAGGGGTCGCGGATGGCACCCAGCACGGCGTCACGGGCTGCCTTTGTCGTCTCAAAATGCCAAGCCGAGTATGGGATCTAAAACGAAAGCATGAAAAACTTTTAGCCTTAACATATTGTTTGTTAGATATACATTGTAAAATCTATTTAACGACACTAAAGGGACTGTACATTTTATGGCGTTATAGAGAGATGTCATTAAATGGAAAGAAGAAAAATCAGAATTATGAAAAGAAAAACTTCATTTCAAGCTAGTAGTTATGTACATAAAAAAAAAATCTTATTTGAACGCTATTGCGTATATTCTGTTATTTTTGTCTGACGTCTTTTGCTGCACCGGTAATTTTGTTGTATCATATTTTTTAGCCATGGTCAACAACAGTCTACTCGTGCAATCCCAATTTGTAAACAAAAGTTTGGTTTGCATGAGTTTATTACGGGCTAGGATAAAAGAGGACAAAAGAACGTACACAGCTGCGCGATTTTCACTAATTTTGGCAACACAAAAGGTACTTTTTACTTAATTGTTGTCGTTATTGAGAGTGGGTGTAATGCTATATGGAGTGTATCATTGTATGGAAAACAAACTAAACCAACCAAAGACCAGTGATTTCGACACTTTAGGGAGTTTGTCATTAAATGGAGTGACGTTACATGGAGTTTACACTGTATTTAAAATTGGAGTTTACTCCTTAAGAATCGATTTGCCCGGTATGAGAAAAATGTGAGGAGTAAAATTTATCGATGAATGACATTAATGACCTCGTTACGTTTTTGTGCGCAACCTCATCTGCGCACCGTTCACTTTTAGCCATGGCAACGGATAAAAAACATTGAGTTGTCACAAAAGTCTGCCGGACCTATCTATAAAAAAAAATAAAAAAAATATCAATAAAATAAATAAACTAAAAAAGATAAAATCGGTGCAAAATTAATGAAAACAAATAAATAACAGATTATAGAGAAATGCCGGTAAGTGTCCAGCACTCTGGAATAGTGATTTTCAGTACAGATGGAATTATAATACATAATTATTTACAAAATGATGACTAGTGTGTGATATTTTTGAAATTGTGTGTTTGCAGAAATACGTAATAAAATATATGATGAATATCGATGATGTTAGATGATAAAATGTGTGACATGGAACCTATGATAGTCGAAACCATGGGACGATTCCTGAGGTATCTCTACTTGTAACCGACTTCTTCGGACTTGATTTTGTTTTGTGTCTGTTCGTTCGTTCAAAGACAATCGTTTTTAGAGTGTAAACTCCGGTCGTGCGTCGGAGCTGACACACACAATTTTTTTCTCCTTCTCAGTGGGAGTGTTTAACTGCGTAGGGATAGCGCGTTCCAGTCCAGGGTACGCTTAGTCGCCGATTGTTCTTTGGTAAGTACCTAATACTTGTAATAATAGTAGTTAGTAGAGTAGTTAATTTCCCATAGCGGTGGGTCGTTCTCAAATTTTCTCTGACTTTCTTCTTCTGACGACGAAACGCAACCGTTTTCTCTTAAACGAAAACTAGTCCTCGAAACGGTTCTCGTCGCAACTGGTTATAGTTGCGGCTGGGTGATGCAACGAGACGACACGCGACGGTCGAACGAATGAACGCAACGAAACTGAACTAAATGAAATCTTGTTAACGTTCGTTTCGTTGCTGCGAACGAGACGACGAAACATCGAAATAAATGTAGTGTTATACGATAATGAGAATTTTAAATGTTCATAAATAAAGATGATATTATTGTAAAATCAAAGCTGAATTATCATAGAACGAAACGGCATGTCATATCATTGCGTTCTATTATAGTATTTAGTTCATCATAAAGTACATATTGACGTGCAGACAATCCGAGGATTAGTTGTTCGACGAAGACTGTTTTGATCCGAAACGTAAAACGGTTCTATCGTCGCGGAACACAAAACGGTCCTTGAAACCGGTTCGTCTTTAGAAAGCTCACACCTAATTTCCCAATATTAGTCCAAACTCTAAAAAGTGAATTGCGGCCAGCGCTGAAAATTAATTCCTTAATCGCCAACCGGTCGCTTTTAAACTAGAGTCGTCTTTAAAAATTATAAAGTACTTACTCATTTAAAATATGTTCCTTGCACAATAAATGAGAATGTTGCAACAAACTCGTTGCATTCAAGATCATATTATTATCGTTAGCGCACACAAACCTTTCGCCGCCCGTCGTCGGAGTTATCTCAAGGCGATCTATTACGCGTGGATCATTAAAACAATTGACTACCGAAATGTTTAATATTTGGCAAAATTAATTTTAAATTTTGCTCCCATAATAAATTTATTGTAGTACATAAAGAAATTGTCCTATACCTAGACATGGTTCAAATACCGTAACCCGGAAATTAGGATTTTGTTGTTGAGTATTATAAGAAAAAGGTACAACTGAAAAAATAGACATGAATTAAAAAAATACCTATGCACGAATTGCTAACCACCTTATTATTAAATGAACTACAAGCTAAGATTTGACTATGTTTTGTCTCTATTCAAAATTGACAACAATATACACAAAACACGGCGTAATAAGTCTAAAGTTTATTTCTCGTTTATTTACCTATGGGGGCTTAGATTAAAACTTTTAATCTAAATATGGGGGCCAAGATAATAAGACATGGGTACAAAAATTGAGAAATACTAATTTTACGGTGAGTGAAAATAGTATTGTTTTGGTATAAAGTTTTATTTGGTGCGTATTATTATTTATATTATTTGAATTGTTTATATGTAGGTAGGTATCTACATTAAAAACTGAATCATCAATTGAAAAACGGAAAATCACTTAAATACACCAAAACTACTCATACTGTCTTCACCTTCAAAATTTTTAGATAATGAAATAACAAGAAACATTTGTAGTAGTGAGTGACTTACCAATTCAGTATCGTTATCGGCATCGTAGCGTAGCGTATCATGTTCTGTGTTCATCATCACACCCAGCGGGAACATAGGGTATGACCCAGATGTGTGCAGTAACGGATTATTCGAGTATCTCCATCCCCTGTGCAACAAGGAGCCCCCTCTATTCACACACAACTCCTGCGCCTGTCGCCACGTAGCCCTCACAGTGCCTCCCCTGACTCCCGTAACGGCAGTCAAACAGTTCGAACTCGGGCTGAAAAACCTCCAGGAGCCACGGAAGCCTGCGCATCCTCTCCTGCTCATTTCATTCTCATCTGGGTACGGATGCACAAAGCAGTACCTATAATGCTTTTCATCACACCTGGTCGCAGTAAAATTGCTCACGGGATCAATAATCACACACAATTCCTCGTCTATTCCGAGACTGGCGTCATATTTGACATCGTATGTCGTGACTAGAATGTCGCCTGCGGATTCGGTGTAAGACCAGTCTATGAACGGTCCCCCAGGGTACAAGGACTTGTACTCCGTCCATAGCACCTTATTGGTTCTAGTCAGATTGAGACTGTGGTACAGTTTCGAGGTGTATACGTTGCCGACGCAGTCATTGAACTTGTCCGCGAAAGCCTCGGGGCCTTTCTCGCGGTAGCATATCGGAGTTTCATCTTTGGTGTACGCCAAACGGAAGCCAATAGGGCATGTGTGGCGTTTCCTGGCCGAAGTGAGGTCGTTTAGACATACGAGAAAAGCCAGCAGGTGAATGCAAACGCGATGCAGAGTCAGTCGCATCTGAAACAAATGGAACACAGCGTGAATTATGTGATGTCGCCGCATTATCTAATCACGGCGTAACGTTGTAAGAGATAACGTGGCCAATCAAGTGTTTAACGATATATTAACACTCGAGCGAATAAATTGTCCGTGATTGTTCTAACGTGAAACTTAGAATGAGAAATTTGCTGAATTCAATTTTTCATATTACTAGGACTAGGTACTGAGAATATTCGAAAGAATCTGAAGATTCATGGTCATGAAAGAAATTAAAAAACCAATTCTGGAACTAATCGGACCACGGCAAGATTTAGCTACGCATAAATTATTTGCAAGGACAATCGTTCCTTTTCTACCGTTGCTCTTTACTCTTATGTGGAATTGGAGTGGAAAAAATCAGTTTCAGTATATCTATTTAAATAAAACTCAAAGGTTTCTGACTGACATAGTGATCTATCAACGCACAGCCCAAACCACTGGACGGATCGAGCTGAAATTTGGCATGCAGGTAGATGTTATGACGTAGGCATCCGCTAAGAAAGGATTTTGATGAATTCTACCCCGATGCGAAGCGAGGGCAGGCCACTAGTATGCAAATAAATATTTGATTTGCGAAAGTTGCACAATCTCCACAATCAGAGACGGAACACGCTAATCACTACGTCATTGAGCACTTCTAGTTATTCTTAGACATAAATATCGTATGACACATTAAGTCACAGCTCACAATATTTACTTATCTCAAAAGACTCTTGCGACAACACGCGTTGGTTTACTTTGAAACATTTTTAATAATAAGTATTTAAATACGTAGTATGCAGTAGTTAGGATATAAGTACCTGCAGAATATTGCCAGGAGCATCACAAAAACTTTTTTATTGGTAAAGTTTTTTTTTAAATTGATGATTTAAAATGAAACAGAAGAGTGGACGGGTCATCTGATGTTGAGTGGCCACGCACCATCGTCAATAATTTCCATTTTACGAAAAAATCTTTTACATAACTTCGGAACAGAAGTCCATATAGTTTTGGACAGCGATGTATCTCGTTAATTACAGAGATATAAATCTCATTATCGATATTGCTTTACAAGATCGCTTCTCAGATGTGGACGTTTAAAGTGAATCTAAAACATGAATTTCACCAACTACATATACCTATATATATATTTATTATTGCTTATCTCTAATAACTCGTGAAAATTAGACATTCATAAGAAAGAGCTTGCCTCCGCAGTGGGGATATATATATGATAGGCTGGTCACATGATGTTTCTTCATCTCACGATACCTTCATGATACCTATCACATCTTCCATTTTCGGCCACACATCATGACTAGAAACTTTATCTGCATCATATTGGCTTGCTGGAAAACCACTCGAGTTCTCGGTGTGGTCACAAGACATGCCGTTGCGATTCGCGACGACACGCGGTCCGGCCGGCGGGATTGTTTGTATAGTTTACTCGATTCCTCGGCAATTTGAGAGTGGGCTCTTCACTTGCCTCGCTATGGAAATGATGCCTTAGGATCTGACATCATCCCATTGACGACGTACTCTGTGCGGCTGTCGTCTCCGTGTTTACACTAGCTCTCATACTCGTGACAATAACACAAATATTGATATTGCAAGCTCTATTGTTACTATTAAGGACTAGTAGTGTATTGTATGAACACAAGATGTTGACGAAATCTTGTTTTGCTGAAAATGCATTGTTGTGTTCAGTCACGCGCGGGCATTCTGAATTTCTGACGGGCATAGGAAATTTAATTGCGATCATGCTGATTTCTTGAAATTTGGAGTCTGATTCTCTATCAAATATGTGGCAGTAGACATTAGATTTGAAAAACATTTCATTTAAAAATATATTTAATAAAAAACAATATAATATCTGAATTTTAGATTAAATTGACAAATTTTAATGACAATATTGGTAATCGAATTGGTAATGCATCCTAAATTGAAGTTATTTTTATAGATTTTTAATTGACATTTGCTTACATTGACATTGTTTTTACTTTTATTTATTTTTATTGATATATTAATTGTCATTTTTATATAGTTTACAACATTAAAATAATATTGTTAATAATTAATGTAATTTTATAAGAATTTACTGTTAGTTTGAAAGGACGACTACACTATTGAATTAGGTATATACCTGTAATAATGGTGTAATGTATTTTGAATAAATAAATAAATAAAATTATTATTGAAGTAAAGGCCCAATTTCAAGAATTATTAGACAGCAAAATTTACCGTTATTGATTGTATCTCATTTATGTATGTATAAGGGAGTGCCCAGTTTTATTATTTCAGATTTAGAAGCTATGCAGTCCTGATGGAACTGTAGGGTCTGCGGCCTGAAAGATCTATTGGATTCAACACCAAATAAAAATATCTCTTTTAGCCTTAGATGAAAACAAAAAGGGTAGATACGGTACGCTCATACTTACATCACGTACGTTGGTAAAGTAAAAAATACTCATTTACTTCACGTTGGTATGCATAATTTTGTTGCTAAGCTGTAAGTGGTCAATAAATACTTATTTTTTTATTAGTGTACGCAACGATAAACTCATGATACGGACGAGTAGACAACCGCTCTCCGGTGCTCTTAAAAAATGGACAAACAATTCCTGTCACAGCGGCTACGGCAGCGCCATCGGATCAACACCAAGCCAGGGGCGGACTAACAGGGAGGCGGAAGGGCCTCCGAGTTCCCCTGATCAAATCCTAAACTAGACTTTAAAAATGTGCTTAGTAGCTACATCATTTCATCAAGATTTTGATCTTGATTCTGTAGTGTTTTGACACTACAGCCATCTAGACTTTTTACACGGTACAAATATTCTTTTAACTTCGCTGAACGCATCCAATACGCTGGCGGAAATCCCGTCTCTGTAGCGGGTACTTCCTCAGGATTCCCTGAATGAATGAAGTATAAATAATTCGATCTTGTAGGCGTACAAGGTGAATTATTACATTTATTAACATTCACTATATTTACGTCGAAAAATAAACATTGGCCTCATTTAAAATATAGTTATTAAATTTCATTAGAGTTAATATTTAATAGCTTATTAGTTTGTTCCAATATTTTCATGAACGGAGCCTTTCTAAAATTATAATTTTATAAACGCGATCTTTTCCGTTCAAAGTAGTTAGTTTCATTAGAAAGTGTTTTGTTAGTGTTTCTGATTTTTGTTGCGGTATAAAAGTAAATGAGTTCAGAGTTCAGTTTACGAGTATTTGGAAAAAGTAAGTAATTCTTCGTATAATTTAGCCTAGAAATTATAATCCGTACTTTCTAGTCAATATGCACCTACTTTTCTAGTCAATATGTACCATATTGTAGGTATGTATGTTTATTTAGTCGCAATAATTTAATTGGAATTTAAATTTCACTAGCCAGATTTTAACGAAACAAACAAAGAAACTACATTTTTTTTTAAAGCTGGGGGGCCTCATTCAGGTTTTCCGCCCCGGGCCTCTGACGAGCTTAATCCGCCACTGCACCAAGCTACACCAAAAGAAGTTTTAAATCAAAATAAGACCGATATCAACATAAACAAAAAATGGACTATGTACTTCTTTTCTTAAGTAACCTAACATTATTATGCACCGCCTAATGTGTACCCATTCCGCACGAATGTCATACGAGTACAACGTTTTTCAACACGTTTGCGATAAAACAGTACCTATACCTAATTTAAGTAATGAAGAAAACTTTTTCTATAAGAAAATGGCGCGTATTTCCAAATGGAGACACGTGAGGGTTAAAGCCAGAAACATATTAACGTGTCGTGTCGTGACGCGCCAGAAGCACATCGGTTTCATACATTTACTATGGTTAGAGACATATTTACGTATTGTGTCGTGTCGACGCTTTAACCTCTCTATCTCTCTCTAACCCATAATAAATGTATGAAACCGATGCGCCACCTCACGCCACGACACGTTAATATGTTTCTGGCTTACACTCACTACTGAGTGAGGGCAATAATAGGTTCATGATGATGATGATGTAAGAATAGTAGTGACTACTCTGTGACCGTTAATTTGAAACAGGTAATCAGCTCCATTTACAAGTTGAGTTGTTTATGAGGCGTAGAGTCTCACCTTCGCTTCAGTCATGCGCGATCGTCTTGCCCGCTGTCTACGCACATCTTCTGCAATAGCGACCTTACTGCATGGAGTTAAGGCGCAGGACGGTGCGTTGCGGCCGCCGTTCCCACGGTACTATGATTTGAATCTGTAACAAAACCGCTTTGTTTTAGACACACTGCGCTTCGTTCTGTAACGAGTTGATTTGATAAAAAAGCCTTTTTAGAATCGCTTCATAGTGTTTTGTAATTAGCTAACTGTGAATTTTCCTGGGAACATTCCATAACAGCTGTTTACACATTCGTCATCTGTCTGTCATCGTCTCTACTCAATTAAAAAAAAAATGGGTGCGTGTACTTATGTAGGCGCGTGAGAAGTTATCCTTCTTTGGCATCGTTTAAAATTAGTTTTTAATTGCATGCAAATAATTAATTACAATAAATTAATAAAAAGTCTGGAAAAGGACACAGTCAATAAAGTTCAGTTTTAATTTGAAAAAATAAATAAATAATCAAAATATTCAATTAGTGATGCGCGCGCATCTTAAAATTTCACTCTCATCATTTTTTCATAACGCGCCTAAAGAAGTATAATTTCAAAAAATGGGAGGTCTTTCTTTCCTCTGGTTACAAACGTAATCTAGCGAAATGAGGTAGGTACTTAGTATTTATTTATCTCAAATACTTTATTTTATTTAATCTTTATTGCCTTTACAATGCAAATGGCGGACTTAATGCCAGTATCAACCGGAAAGAAGTTGCAGAGAAAATGAAACGGCAGACAACGATTAGAGAAAACATTAAAAGCATTAATTATTTATACATACATATATAAATATACATAATACTTATATCTATCATTTCAGATAGTTACCCAAGGCAATAGATACATCCATTTAAAAAATACATTATAATACTTTGCAACAAACACATTGGAAAAATAATTTATTGAAACCGATGATCCACTCAGCTAGTTTTTCATTAATTCTGTTGATTATGCGCAATGCACGCGTCGCTTAATAATAATAAATATTTCCAACACTTACACCAATTAGCCTAGCCCCAAAGTAAGCACTGTAAGGCTTGTGTTATAGGATGCTAGGGTAACGGATACAATACATATACAGTACATATATAAGTATATTTATATAGAAATACATATGAAACATCCATGACTGGAGTACAAATGCTCGTATTCATCACACAAACATCTGCCCCCACCGGGACTCGAACCCGGATCTCTCGAGTCGGCGACACCATTAAAGCCGGCATACAAACCACTCGACCACGGAGGTCGTCAAATAATACGTCGTCTTAATACGACTTGGTAAGTAGTAAAAACTGACTACACAGCAGGACCGATGGCCTATAGTGCAGTAAAGCAAAGACGAGTCCAAGATAGTAAATTTTTGGTCACCCGTCCAATAACCGACCACTGCGGAAGTTGCTTCACTTCAACGATTGCAGCCGAACGCACTTGCGCTATCGAGCTCCTCAATTTTACCTACATACTTAATTTATATATCGAAATTTTATAAGTAATTAAAACGTTTAAAAGGGCCACGTGTCATCTTTGATGTGCCCCACAGTACGATGGAAAGTATCCTGTGACTCAATCTAATGTGTACGAAAATTGGATGGCACCTTGGATTATAACAAAAAGGGAAGATACGATACGCTCATACTAGCATCAAATAAAATATGATCCAACTCAACTACATAAAAGTACAATTCCGTGCATCCTACGACTGTCGTCCTACACGACGTCCTACAGCGACCTACGACTGTCGTCGGTCGCTCGCGACAATAGTCATAGTATGAAAATTTATGGCACCGCTTCCGAGGCCAGCGACAGACGCGCGCGGCCGACGACTGTCTCAAAGTTACTCTGTGTTGTTCGGCATATCCCTCGACGTGTGTCTACCGAATTCAAAATCATGGTCGAAGTGCTTATTAACATTCTTTAAGAAGAAGAGGAGGATGACGAGCTGCTGTTGTTATATTATGAAAAAAGAGAACCAATCGACCCTATCTTTAAAAGCAGAAATGAAGAAGGATACAACCAAATATTGATTCAAAAGCATTTGTATTGTTATGAAAATAAGTTTCGGAAGTTTTCTCCTGCGTTCCTAGACATGTTTGCGCCATGAAATGCGAGCGAAAGCCGCGCGCGGCTCACGACAGTCGTCGGCCGCCACCGTCCGTCTGCGGCTGGCCGCGGAAGCGGTGCCATACATTTTCATACTATGACTATTGTCGCGAGCGCACGGTTCCCAACTTAGGGGTTTTGCCCCCAGATTTAGGAGCTAGAAAGGTTAAAACGGACTTTTTTAGGGGCTGGAATTTTTTGGGGGTTCTTTTAGGGGCTTTTAACAAAACTTGCAATTAAATCGAAAAACAAAGCGTGTGTTTTCTTTCAGTTTTTGCGTAGAATGGAACGCACCACGATATGAAACGACTGAACTGACTGTGTGGCAGATTGTTTCCTAAGGCTGTATGGACTAAAATTCTTTGCCTTCCACCAATCAAAACAGCTAAATAAGATTTAACAGCATGTCAGCTCAATTTCGTTTGAATTTCCATTCGGAAAATGTATTTATTCAATAAAATAATTTACTGTAATTAAATATGTAACGTTTTAATTTATGAGCAACGAAAGAATTTAGGTAATAAGAATAATAGGTAGGTAAAAGAAGTAGGTACATATAAATTTCTATATTTAGGGGATTATTAGTGGAATTTTAAAAATACTTAGGGTAAAATTTTGGTAAGGGTTGGTAACACTGCGCGAGCGACCGACGACAGTCGTAGGCCGAGCGCGGCCGCGATCGATCGCGATGCACGGAATAGTACCTTAAGCATCTCTTCAATCGAGCGAGCGAGACAGAACTGTACGCTTCAAAGCTTCAACCAAGTTTCTATAGTATTTGCTTCAACGCAGCGAGAGCGAAACGGCGAGTTCGAATTGCTGAGCTGTATATTTTTCCTTTTCTTGATAACAAAATGACGATTACGTAAATTACGTCCACGACTTTAGAGAAAATAAGGTTTTTACAGTTTTACGAATGGAAATTTTTGCCAAGGCATTTTTTATTTGATTTTGAACTATTTGTGTTCTTTATAAAAGCATCGAAGGCATTGTTTTATCTTTATAACACAGAATATACGCAATATTGTTATATTGAGTGCACATGCAGCGTGAAAGCGAATTGTGGTCATGCACCACAATTTAAGCCGATCACTTTTGAGTCGCGAGTGCCGTATCTTTCCTTTTTGTTTTAATCAATGGCTTAATCTGAGAATTTCTTTCCCATCTAAAAATACATAAAAGAATTTAGGTATTCATTAACTTATTGGAAATCCGCGCAATCGTGTAGATTGTTGAATTCCTTTAAAGAAATTTGGAAATATCTCAAAGCTTTCATCTCATGTTATTTATGCAGACACATAATTACAATAATAAAACACTTGAAATTTTGTTTTATAGCACATCAAACGTATATAAATGAGCAATTTTAAGTTCGTTATGCAATTTTACACCTACTTACTTACTCCGTACATTCAGATCTTGGGTTAATTTCATTTGACCTACAGCTTGTGGGTCGGCAAGTACCTAAAGAGGTTATGAACAAGAGACAATTAAACTAATTACCGCTATCATTATCTCTTTATAAAAACGGTATAACCAAGTTTCCTTGAAATCGTTACTACATTGCCTTAAGAAAGAGCACCGATTTTATAATTATAGTGAATATTGTAATGGAGTTTTACATAATCATTTCAAGTTGTCCTCCATCACAACAATCCTCTGCATGTTCGATAATATTCTCAAGTTTTGTTATATTGCTCCAAGCCGCACGAGAGTCAATCTGACAACAAATAAATTATTCGTTTTAAAAAAAGTAAAAACACGCTTTTATTTACTGCACTAAAAAGTCAAAAATAAACAAAATATACTACACTCTTTACTTCATTAGGGACTTAGGGTTAGCCAAGTTTATAAAAATAAAGTAACATAAATATTTCCAACACTCACACACCAATTAGCCTAGCCCCAAAGTAAGCACTATAAGGCTTGTGTTATGGGATGCTAGGGTAACGGATAGAATACATATACCTACTGTACATATATAAGTATTTTATATAGAAATACATATTAAACATCCATGACTGGAGTATAAATGCTCGTATTCATCACACAAACATCTGCCCGCACCGGGATTCGAACCCGGGACCTCTCGAGTCGGCGATACCATGAAAGCCGGCGTATACACCACTCGGCCACGGTGGTCGTCTATGGATAGAATAGGGAGATTGAGCCATGACCCACCACGCGGGCCCTAACGCGGGCGGGTGCTAACGATTGCAGATGCAGCCGGGACCAACGGCTTAACATGCCTACCGCAGCACAGAGGAACTCGAGATAGAATGGTCATGATTTCTCCATTCTTTTTGCTTTGTAATTGTTTGCAGTGTCCTACAGATAAATGACTTTAAGTTTAAGTAAATATGCTGTGGTTGATATAGGTGGTTATGGGTAGTCATGCTCTCTTAAAAGTCTCTTCGGTGGTGTCGTGTGAGGCGGGTCGTTACGTTCCCTAAAATATGGTTGAGCGAAGCGATGGCTGGTTCATGCGTCATGCTCGTGAACGGGTGCTGCCAGCGGAGATGAGTCTGCCCTAACTACTTTGATATTTAAGATGTAAATGTTTAATTACACCTATTATAAATAACTCTGTTTGTATTCATACTGTGTGACACAGCAATCAAAATGCAGGTGAACAAGTAATGTATAATTTCACATTATGTAATGAAAGGTGACTTCATGAATCATCTCTGAAGTAATTTTTCAACTTGACGACTCTGTAAGTGATAAAACAGGGAGAAAGAAAACAGCCCTTGCTGAGTTTCTTGGCGGTTCTTCTCAGTACAAGATCTCCCGCCGTAGATTTACGAACCGATGGCGTAGCTTCTAGACATTCATGAGTGCTTGTAACAGCCTAAACTGAATAAATGATTTTGATTATGATTATGATTAGAAGATTTTTGGTCACCCAGCCAATGACCGACCACTGCGAAAGTTGCTTTTGCCTAATTTAGTGAGACGACATTCCAGAAACGGGCGTTGAATAGACAACATACCCATGTG